CATTAATAATATAATAAACAAATTCATATATCAATAAAAGAATAAATTTCTCAAATATTCTTTTTAAAATTTATATATTTGGAAATGACTAAGTTTTTAGATAGGTTAAAGTTCAAAAAATATCTCAATAAATAGATTTTTTAAGAGAATATTGTTTACTTAATTAAAAACTTTTTAAAAAGCTTTAAATTATTAATTTTTTTCTTTTTCACTATGTAATTTAACAATTTATAATTTTTTAAAATAATCTATAATATTAAACTGTAAATAATAATTCTAGTAAATAAAAATTATAACTAATTTATTAGAGAAGTATAATATTATTTTTAAATTTGACTTGAAATATCTAGTTTAGATTTTATTTTGTTAAATTCAAACTAGCTTGATAAACTTCTCATATTTTTTAAGTAGTATAGTTTTTAACTAATAATATATAATAATAAGTTAGTCATTATATAAAAATAAAAAACTCTTTCTACTGATCTTCTACCTACATACAAAAAAAATATTTACAAGAAATTTTTTATTTCTTTGCTAATAAAGTCTTAATACTATCCTTAAATCAACTTAAAGTTTTACTTTAAAAGATACTCCCAAATCCCTTCTCTTGTTTATATTTGTTTTCAAATAAAAACTTGGCTTTCTATGATCTAGAAAAATCAAGAAACATAATCTTTACCTATAGCAAGAAAGTTCAAAAAGAAAAAAAAACTAATAGTATAGTACTTGAAGCCTTTCATATTAAAGCATGTTTATAGAAGTTATCTATAGTGAGAGGTAGCAAATATCAAGTCATATTTCAAAGTGTCTGTCCATTGTTTCTTCCCTCTTATAGTCACCCCAAATTTTTTTTGATTTTTTGAAGAATTTTGTCTACCTCAGTTTGACCTTGAATTTTAGATGACACAATCTATTGTAAAATATGATTGATAAATACAAAATATGTTAATAGCTGAATGTAAACAAGTACCTAATAGCATCTCACATGTTTTGATAATATAATTGGTAATAGAAAGAGTTGATTAGTGTTCCGTTCCCATCCTGTTCCTCCAATTGGGTTAATCTACAAACCAAGTACTATAAGATTAATAAGATATGAGTAATAAATCCCCAGATAGTAAAAAAGCTACTATTTGTTCAAGCTGAGGTCTTTCTCTTTTATCATTCTGGTCAGGCAAAGTTCAAGACCAAGGTCTTCTTTTTATTTTGGTTAGGTAATAAAACTGAATGGCCTTTAGTCTATGCTAAGCTTCAACCCTTTAATTACAGTTGAGAATGTCTTTTTCCAAAAGTTGTTAAAGAATATCACAATAGATAAGGATTCCTGTCACTTTTAAGACCCTTTTACCATTACAAGACAAAAGGATTATTGAAGAATTTGATCTTTTGAATAATAGAAAATGTATACTAGTAAAATTCTCTTAACTAGGCATGGCTACTGGAAGGTATTATATTGAAACAACATAACTTAGTTCCTATTGGGTTACATAAAAACCTGAGGTCCATCATAAGTCACCTCTCTATCACAGGTGAATAAAAAATCATTGCCCAAAGAAGGTTAGGACAAAGTATATTCTAGAAGTAAAGGCTTCTACTAGGTGATAAGTCTTCTTAGATGATATACAAAAAGAAAATCAAGATTAAGAATAGATAAGTTCCTCAAATGGTCAGAAAAAGAAAAAATATTCTAATTGGACATTTCTTATTGAGAAGAAGTCTTAAGAAGCAGGTCTTTGAAGGAAGCTGAAAAATTTTTTTTTTCTTTTCATTTTCTTATTCTGTATGTCCACTTGAATATTTTTAGATATACCCTTCTCCTTTTTTCAACCTATCCTTTTGTAGTTTCCTATATTTCAGCAGTTTGATATGACATATGATAGTGACAACCTGTTAGCAATAATATAGTGAACTAAAAAGGTCTTCACTCAAAGATACTATGAAGCAAAATATTGTTCCCAAGGCCAAACTTAGAGGCTTTTATGCTTATGATGAGTTGGTTAGATAAAATGAAAGTAGTTTAGTTATAGTATTTATCATGTTGTTTGAATAAAAATATACTTATATTTTCAATTAATTAATAAACTCATAATCTAGTCTAGCTACGGATACTTAAAAAAAAAAAAAATAAGTTAATCATTATTGTGAATTAAAATAATAATAATAATAATATAAAATTTAAATATAAATAAATAAAAATATAATAATTAAACTTATTTTATTGAATTTTTATAAAAAATTTTTATTTAATAATATATAAAAATTTTTAATAAATAATTATTTATAATAAGATTTTTTTAATAATATTTAAAATAAAAATAATTTATTAATAATATAAATTTAAACAAAAACTCTTTCTGCTAATCCTCTGACTATGCACAAAAAGATATTCGCAAGAAGTTTTATATTTCAAGACTAATAAAATCTTATTCTTTTTTTTAAACCAACTTGAGAATAAGATTTTCAAGAGTTACTTTACAACTTCACTATCTTTTTTTATATCTTGTTACAAAAAACTTGTCTTCTAGTAATCAAAAAAACAACTCTACCCTTCTTATCAATAGTAAAGAAGTTTTGAAAGAAAATAAACCTGACTTTTCTATCTCCCTCTCATCTGTTATAAAAACATTACAGAACCTAGTTTGTGATAAGAGACTCTTTAAAAGACAACTCCACTACTCTTTTATCATTGTGAAAACTTTAATAGTATTCTTTTACAATTTTTTTTGAAAGATTTTGTCTACTTCAGCTTGATCCTAAATTTTGAGTAGCGCAAAGTTTCTGATGCAGTAATTGGATAATGAAAATACATCAATAATCCAAGATGTAAACAAGCCCCTATTGGCCATCTCATATGTCTGAATACATTTTTTTAATTTCTATAAAAATTTGAGATTCATCATAAGTTGCAAACCAGTTACATGGATGGATATAAGACATGAAATCTATGACATCATTGATTATACAAAAAGAATAAAGAAACCTGAATTAGAACTTATTAGATAATAAACAATAATTCTTCTTTACTTATTCTCCTCTTTTTCAATATACTGTATTTAACCAAAGAAAAAAGACCATAAAATATAGGATTTTTTAGAAGAATTTTTGATTACCTAATATTGACATATTGAAAAGACAATTCCTTGATTCATTAAGTAACTACTTGGTCTCTTCAAATACTCTTTAGACAGCAGTACAATATAAAAAAATTTTGATTAGTACTAGTGAAGTTAAGGCTTTACATTAGGGATTTCTAATATCAAAAATGATGAATATCACAAATAAATCCTTGACACATTAACCCCTCTTTCTTATGAAATCTGGGGTAATAATAAGTCATTTGGTGGACCATGTTTTATCATATCTCTAGGAAGTATCAGTGTGATCTTATAGATAATATAGTGAAAAATTTTTTTTATTCAATATTATTACTTGTTTTATTTTAATAAATAATATATTTATATTAGGTGATCATATAATTATTTTATACTAATTGAATAGAGACCTGTGGGTCTATAGCGCAGTGATAGTGCTTCCAAGTCACCAAGTACTGTTTCTAAGTTCAATACCACTGTGAGGCAGTACCTCCTAAGCTTAGATGGTACAGGAAGATCTCATTCGTCTCATAATTATGATTACTGTCACCTATGGCCAAGATCCTATTCGATTATAGGATAATCAAAAGATCACAAAATGCTTCAGCCGATTTTAGTACTGAAGTCATCTCATCACAAGACAGGTTTTAACAAGCTTCTGCAAATAGGCTGAAGATCTGCTTGTCATAAAAAATTCAGGGACTAACAGTGACTAGGTACGTTAGTATAAGAAGAGGGTCTTTACCAAAATTGACAATTCATTTAAGACTCCATGCGGTCATCCCATAGGCAAGCTGTAATAGATCATGTAAAAAGAGTATTCAAATGGGACGAGATGATATCTAAGACTTCACATGAATATTCTATAAGTATACTGTAATAGGTAGTATAAAAAGAGTATTTGATGAGATGAGATATGAAAGGGGTTTCAGATCTAAGCCAACCAGAGGGCAAGTATATATAGCAAGGACCTGAATGTAGGTAAGTTGGGTAGTAGGGTTTCTTTCGACAATATGTCATATGAAAGATTGCGATAAATGGGTTTATTATAATAGTTAGCCATTATCGAGGTCGAGTTATAATCTAAGTAATATAGCCTTTACTATAGTCTGTAATCTCAATGTACCTCATCAATTCATTGCTACAATCTCAATAAAACTGGGCCTCTGTACCCTTATTAAAAAAAAAAAAAATACTAGTTGAATAAGACATAAATGGTTTATTCTTTGTACTATTCATTGATCTACTGTATAAATCCTTAGGCAGTATGGATAATTATTCATTCCAATTGTTTCTAGATATCTTTTTGTTTTAATAAAACATATTTAAAAAAAAAAAAAATTAATAATATAAATTTTTTAAAAAAAATAATAAAATCATTTTTATATACTGTATACAGTATATAAATTAATTGCCTTAAATAATAATCTTGTAAATTAAATATTCTTCAAAAAAATAAAGTTATATTTAATTAATTCAAATTGTTTTAATTTACTATTTATGTAGTACCACTATAACGACCACTTTTAAACAATTATGCACAACTATCATATTGTTTCACTACAAGAACTATATCGCGCATTATTTTTCTATTTATATTTTTGTGTTATTGTTAACTCGATTGGTCTATTTGTGGTGACAAACGGCATTTGTACCGAGATTATGAATAATGATGTGTGTCGACAATATGCTAGCATTTTTTGTTCAAATGACGTAGCGCAAGAAACGAACTTTTCTCTATGGACAATGGAAGTGATATTCATGTGATCTCAATTACACACGTACAGTATATTTAAATTACTTATCCTTTTCTATATCTTCTAAACCTTTTCTTCTTGTCAGGTAATTACTGTACCTTATTTTGAGGGTTCTGGATTTTGTATTGTCTAACTAACGCTTCGTCTTAGAATGTCGAGATTGCCGAAACAACAAAGTGGTCTACCAACTTCTAACCTACCTGGGCCAGGCAGCAGACGTCGTTCATCTGCCGGGGCCGGTCAAAAGTCCACTCCTATCCTAAAAGGACTGACTCCCGAACAAGAAGCTCTTCTACAGGAGGCTATGGAAAAATATAGTCCAGCTGCCTTGACCAAGTCAAATGAACAAACTTCCAACAGTCAAAGCGCCTCGTCACTCTCTATAACACCAAATAATCCAAATCCATCCAATAATTTACCAAAGAAACCCGGACTCAGAAAGCAGAGCTTCTCCAGGATGGCTCGTCCGTCCCTCCCATCCATAATAGATACGCCTGCTGGCGCCGTGAAGAAGCCTCTTACAGAAACGACACCGTCCTCTCTAGCAACAAAATTTAATCAAACTAATTCTACGACGCAATCGCCAAACGGTTTGTCACAACTCCAACGCACACCAAACATATCACATACAACAGGATCAGGAGGTCAACCACCTTCAGTCGCGCCTATTCATCAGAGGTTGCAATTAATTGCCACACAACAACGTCCAGCTTCTCCTTCGCTTCAGTTATATTCAGTGGGAGATCACGTTGCTGTAGAGTCGATGAATATTACCGGAACTTTGCGATTTTTAGGTCCTATTGACATCAAGCCGGGAACTTGGGCTGGAATTGAAGTAGATGCTGTTGGTACAGGTAAAAACGACGGTAGTATTAATGGGTGAGTTTACATTATTCTGCAAACCCGTGTTTAATAACTAATATATACTACAGACCTGACTATATTCTGATCAGCTTTTATAAACATTCATGTTCAATTGAATGAATAGCAAACCCTATTTTTCATGCCCACCAAAATCCGGTATCTTCGTCCTTGCTAGTAAACTCACCAAGCTCACAGATGTCAATTCTAGTAAAACTGAAATAGCAGACACCCTGACAAGCTTGCCTCAAATTCCGTCCACAGCGAAAACCAATAATTCAATACCTCGACCTTCATCTGCTTCGAGCAACTCGAGCGAAAAAAGCATAACCATGACTAAAAATGCTCAGAACGCAGCAGCAGCAGCATCTCGCATAACTGCTGGATCACGTGCATCAAAGTATATAGGTGTCACTGCTTCTCAGCTTAAACAAAGGGTTTTAACAAAACCTGCAAACATTATTACCTCCCCGGCTATCACCGATTCATCAGATTCTCAGCAGCACAAAACAAAGCCGACTCTTGGACTGAAACGTCCGAATTCTTACGGAAACTTAAAGTCACCAACACCATCCTTCAACTCGAATAATGAACGTTCCCGCCGGGGAAGTGATGCTTCCAACGGATCCGCTGTATCAAACATTTCTCAATCCGGGAAGTCAGGTTTACCACGTTCTCGAGCGACGACACCTAATCAGACTCTTGATTCCCAGTCGCCGTCTGACACTGAGACCACCGTTTCTACTCCACTTGCACACGAAGAAATGAGTAATAAAACGTTACAAGAAAAAATACAAAAGTTGTTAAATGACCCGGAACCAATCGGAAGTCGCCCTATCGGTCTCTTTGACGAGCAGGACCTTCAAATACGAAAATTGCAGATGAAAATTGAGGTTTTAGAGACTGAGAATACAAATTTAAGACTTGAAAAAGAAAAAATTAAAGCCAAAGCTGGTAAATTTGATGTTTCCAATGGTCGTATGACAAATGGAAGTACTGAAATTAATGGCAGCTGGGAGGTCGAGAAAAAGATCCTAAATGAAAAGATTGCACAATTAACCAGACAACTCGAAGATGCCTCAAAAGGACACCATCCTAGGTCGAGTACATCACTATCAATGATCGCCGATAATGATCTTATGAATGACAAGATTCTGTCTTTGACCGAACTGGTAGAGCAAAAGGACGAGCAAATAAAAGCACTTGAGGAGTCTCTCAGGAGGGTGAATACAGATCTGGCAGAATCCAAATCCAAATTCTCCGAATTCGAAAAACTTGACAAGAAACGAACAGAGGAGATCGAACAGCTGTTAGTTAAGTCGAAGACATCTGAGATGACTATCCGAGAACAATCGACCGAAATTGATCGACTAAGTGAAAAGTTGAATCAAATTCAATCTGATTCCGAGAATAAAGTTCGTTCTTTGCGGGAAACAGCGAATCAAGTTCAAGTCGACTCCGAAAGCAAAGTTTCTTCTTTGCAAGAATCAGTCGTCGAACTAAAGAACGCGGGCAAAGAGGCGATAAAAATTTACGAAATAAGAGTAACCTCCCTTGAGAAACAGATTGAGGATTTAAAGAAAGCCGGCAAAGAGACACTAGCCTGTTTAGAGGAATCGAACGCAAAAATTACGCAACGTGATTCAAGAATTAAATTTTTGGAGAAAGAGTGCGAGGAATTGCGTTTGGCAGGGGTTGAAGCCATACACGTATACGAGAAGATGATTGAAATCAAGGATAAGGAGATCAAGGATGTGGAGGCAACGTTGAGTAAAAAAGAGGCAGCCCTTGAAGCGACCAAGAAAGCGAAACAGGAACTTGCCCTGACACAAGCGGAATTAAACGAAACGAAGTCCAAGTTGAATGATACCATTGATAAATTGGATCTGAAAGAAAAGGCGTTGGAAGGTCTTCGTAAAGAATTAGCCGATTTACAATCCTGTTTGGAACAATTGATGCGAGCCGATGCAAAGTCTCGAGAGAATATTTATCAATTGGAAGACGAAGTCCGGGAATCTAAGAATTTTATTTCCAGGCAACAGGAAGAAATTACTGGACTTAAAAATAACGTTCAACAACTTATGACGGCCAATGAAAGTCAAGAGGTTGAAAATGTAAAAGCAGTCTATGAAAATGACATTAACCGACTACAAGATGAGCTGGAAGAAGTGCGAAAATCATTATCCGAGGTACAATCGGAAAAACGTTCTATCGTTGGAGAGCTAGATGTACTATTGAATGAGAAGAAACTATTGGAGCAAAAAATTAAAGATCACGAAAGGGAAAGAAAAGAGGCCGATGACGAATTGGAATTGACGCGAATCCAATTAAAAACCAAAATTGAGGAATTAAAAGAGACAGCTAGCAAAAATGTTGATAACATGAAGGAGTCAGAAAAGGAGAAGGCAGAATTATTAGAGGCTCGCGAGCTCGCGGAAAAAACTTTATCAGAGGCACGTGAAAATAATAAGAAGGAGTTAACAGAATTGCGCGAACAACTTGAAAAATTACAAGCACAATCAGTCCTTGCCAACCAATTAAAATTGGACCTTGAAGGGAAGACGGAGGAAATGAAAAAGTTGAATGATGAATTTGAGAAATTTAAGAAGGAGGCAGAAACCACGAACGTAAAACCCATCGAAATTCCAGTTGCAAGTTCTCAAGAAATAGATGAACTTAAGAAGGACTATGAAGGTAAAATCGAAGAATATCAATCGGAGATTTCCAAATTGAAACAAAAAATCAAGGACTTAGTTGTGATCTCCAAAGCAACGGAGGCTGTAAAACAGCGTAATCAAGAGTATGAGCAAAAGTTCGCGAAATATGAGGAACAGCTTAATGGTCTAACAGTTATCGTCAAAGAACTGACTGAGGAAAATGTGAAACTTTCGTCGGCGAATAAAAAGATTTTAATTGAGCAGGAACATTTTATGGAAGCTCATAGACAGGCAGAGAATGAGTGCATGAAGTTGATGGATGAATTAGAGAGATTGCACAGCGAGTCTCTCGTAGCACAGGGTGTCTTATCGTTATCTCCACCCGTTGAAGATACATACGAAGCTAATGGAGCGGTCAACCAAGAACAGGGTACTACGGAAGAAAGCGAGGGTACAACAAATTCAACTGCCGATAGTCAACCGTCTACCGAGGTGAAACGCCTTCAATCGCTTTTGGTAGAAAAACAAGGCCAGGTCGACCATTTGACATCATTACGTAGTGTCGAAGTTCGCGAATTGCATCAAAAAATTTCCGAGTTGGAAAAGGCCAAACAGCGAGAGATCAGCACGTTAAATAAAGAAGTCGCGGAGTTAGAGTCACTGATTGAAAGCAAGATTTTCCGCGAGGCAGATTTAGAAGAACAAGTTGAACGGGAACGTTCAGTCGTCAAGAAATTACGATCTGAATTAGAGGATATGAAAGAACAGCTTAGGGAGTTGACCAATTTGGAAAATTCACTTGGTATAGAATTCGAATACGAAAGTTCAGTGAATGGTGGAACCGGAAAAAAGGAAACGGAATTAAAGGAAGATAAAGGAACATCAGAATTGTATTGTGAAATATGTGAAAAAGAAGGGCACGACGTTTTAAGTTGCAAAGCGGTTATCGATTCTCACGAGGAAAACGATGAGCCAAATTATGAAATTTCATCGCTCGATAGCGGTAGCAAAGATGACGATAAACCAGTGAGTAGTTTGAATATACATTCTTTTTTTTTTAAAGATAGAAAATTATGATTAATTATTTATAAAATTCTTCTAGTATTGCGATAACTGCGAGGAATATGGTTTGCACTGGACCGAAGATTGCCCCAACCAGGACGAAACTTTCTAAGCGATGAGTTTCATATTAAATCATTCTTAATTCAAATTTCTACGGAGATTTAAGTCAATCACCTGTTATGAGTATGGACATACGGATTAAGCAAGCTATGAGAACTATGAATTAATAACATATTGCTATGTTGGAAGCCTCATAATAACATGTCGAATGTTAATTTAGGTTACCAAAATTTTAATATGATTTATCTTTTCTCACTTTCGCCTTCCTTTTTCTTTAACCCACATTTTTGTTGTTAGATTCGAGGCACCAAAATTTCGACACTAAAGTTTACTAATTTACTTATTATTTTTATTATTTTATTTTTTATTTTATTTTATTTGTATTTTATTATTATTTTTTTTTTTACAGATAAAGCATTAATTACTTTATGTATTCCTTCTTTTTCCAATAATTTGTATATTTGAATTTGCATTATTTTCTCCATAGATTTTTAAAAACTTTTTTCCCATACTCGTTTATTGCAAGATGAGCACTATTTTGGTGTTGGATTTTTCCACCAATGCAGATAATGCATATATATATATCTGATTTTTTAACTATTTACACATTTTCACAAAAGATTTTTGTTAATATCATTATTGCATAGAAAGCATTTAGGAAATCCAAAATATTTTATTAAAAAAGGAAATTACGTAATACTTTTCCGAAATCCCTAAAATTAAAAATTTTTAAACATAAATAAAAAAGTACTATAAATGATATTTAACAATTAATTCAATAGATTAATATTAAGTTTATAAGTCCTTTTTGTAAGTCTATTATTTCTAACTCTATTGGACTTTAACATAATCTTTCTTGGAAGCGTCATTTATCGACATATAGGGAACAGCACCAAACATCGACCAATTGAGCCTCCAC